GACGGGGTTTTACCATGTTGGCCAGGATGGTCTCAATCTCCTGACCTCATTATCCTCCCGCCTCGGCCTTCCAAAGTGCTGGGATTTCAGGCGTGAGCCACTGCGCCCGGCCCCTTAGATTCTTAAGTTATATTGGTTTGTAGTTTCTTTTCTTGTGTCTTTATCTGGCTTTAGTATCAGAGTAATGCTGGTTTCTTAAAATGAGTTGGGAAGTGTTTCCTCCTCTCCTATTTTTGGAAGAGTTTGAGAATGATTGGTGCTAATTTATTTTTAAATGTTTGGTAGAAAACACCGCATGTTCTCGCTCATAAGTGGGAGCTGAACAATGAGAACACATCGACACAGGGAAGTGAACATCACACACCAGGGCCTGTTGGATGGGTGGGGGACTAGGGGAGGGATAGCATTCGGAGAAATACCTAAGGTAGGTAACGGGCTGATGGGTGCAGCAAACCACTGTGGCAAGTGTATACCTATGTAACAAACCTGAACATTCTGCACATGTACCCCAGGACTTAAAGTATAATAAAAAATATATATAATAAATAAAATACAAGTCTCCAAGAAAGAAAAAAAAATGTTTGGTAGAATTCACCGTGAAACTATTAGGCCTGAACTTTTCTTGTTCGGACGAGTTTTGATTATTAATTCAATTTATTTCCTTGTTGTAGGTATGTTCAGATTTTCTCTTTCTCATTAAGTGAATTAGGTCAATTTTGTGTGTCTGGGAATTTGTCCATCTCCTCTAGGTTATCTAATTGGTTGGCAAACAATTGTTCATAGTTTTCTCTCATAGTCCTTTTTATTTCTATAAGGTAGACAGTAAGGTCCCCACTTTCATTTCTGATTTACCTTATTTTCATCTTCTCTCTTCTTGTTTTAGTTTAGCTAAACAATTTTATTAATCTTTCCAAAGAACTAACTTTTAGTTTCATTGATTTTCTCTTTTCTGATCTTATTTCCTCCCTTCTGCTAGTTTTGGGTTTGGTTTGCTCTTCTTTTTCTAGTTCCTTAAAGTGTAGAGTTGGGATAATGATTTGAGATCTTCTCTCTCTCTTTTTGTTTTTGAGACAGTCTCGCTCTGTCGCCCAGGCTGGAGTGCAGTGGCACGATCTTGGCTCACTGTAACCTCTGCCTCCTGGATTCAAGTGATTCTCCTGCCTCAGCCTCCCGAGTAGCTGAGATTACAGGCACCCGCCACCACGCCAGGCTGATTTTTTTTTTTTTTTTTTTGTATTTTTAGTAGAGACGGGGTTTCACCATGTTGGCCAGGCTGGTCTTGAACTCCTAACCTTGAGATCCGCCTGCCTCAGCCTCCCAAAGTGCTGGGATTACAGACATGAGCCACCGCGCCAGGCCTCTCTCTTTTTTTCCTTTTGTAGCCATGTATAGCTATAAATTATCCTTCGAGGACTGCTTTTGTTGCATCCTGTAAGTTTTTGTATGTTGTATCTTTTATTCTATTTGTCTCTAAGTGTTTTCTAATTTTCCTTGTGATTTCTTCTTTGACCCACTAGTTGTTTAAGTAGATGTTGTTTAATTTCTACATATTTGTGAATATTCCAGTTCTCTTTCTTGTTATTTATTTCTAGTTTTATTCTATTGTAGTCAAAGAAGATACTTTGTATGATTTTGATCTCTTTAAATTTATTGAGCAAAATATATCTTCATTTCCCTTGAGAAAATTTCCTCTTTGACTCATGAGTTATTTAGAAGCGTATTGTTTGATATGTGATTTGCAAATATTTTCTCCCAATCTGTAATTTGTCTTTTCATCCTCTTAAAAGGGTCCTTGCAGAGCAAGTTTCAAATTTTGATCAAGTCTGATTTATTATTTATTTATTTATTTTGAGACGGCGTCTCTGTCGCCCAGGCTGGAGTGCAGTGGCACGATCTCAGCTCCCTGCAAGTTCTGCCTCCTGGGTTCACGCCATTCTCCTGCCTCAGGCTCCCGAGTAGCTGGGACTACAGGCGCCCGCCACCACGCCTGGCTAATTTTTTGTATTTTTTTAGTAGAGACGGGGTTTCACCGTGTGAGCCAGGATGGTCTCAATCTCCTGACCTTGTGATCTGCCCGCCTCGGCCTCCCAAAGTGCTGGGATTACAGGCATGAGCCACCGCGCCCGGCCATCATTTTTTAATTTTAAGAATAATGGCTTTGGGGCTGGGCACAGTGGTTCATGCCTGTAATCCCAGCACTTTGAGAGGCCAAGGCAGGTGGATCACTTGAGGTCAGGAGTTCGAGACCAGCCTGGCCAATATGCTGAAACCCTGTCTCTACTAAAAAAACAAACAAAAAAACAAAACAAAATTAGCTGAGCGTGGTGGAATATGCCTGTAGCCCCAGCTTGTTGGGAGGCTGAGACAGGAGAGTTGTTTGAGCCCTGGAGGTGGGGGTTTCAGTAAGCTGAGGTCACGCCACTGTACTCCAGCCTGGCAACAGAGGGAGACTCTGTCTCAAAAAAGAAGAAGAAGAAAGAAGGAAGAAGAAGAAGAAGAAGAGGAAGAGGAAGAGGAAGAAGAAGAAGAAGAAGAAGGAGAAGGAGAAGGAGAAGGAGAAGGAGAAGGAGAAGGAGAAGGAGAAGGAGAAGGAGAAGGAGAAGGAGAAGAAGAAGAAGAAGAAGAAGAAAATAATGGCTTTGGTGTCATGCCTAAGAATTCTTCTCCTAGCCTTAGGTCCTGAAGATTTTCTTCTACATGTTCTTCTTCAAGTTTTGTTTGTTTTTTTGTTTTTAATTTTTGTGAGTTTTTTTTTTCAAATGGCAACTCCAAGATAAAGCCAAATTATTTTCAATATTGTACAATTTTTAGTATGAGGAGCCATTCTAATTAAATAGACTCATTTGGCCAGGCATGGTGGCTCATGCTTATAATCCCAACACTTTGGGAGGCCAAGCATAAGGATTGCTTGAGTTCAGAAGTTCAAGATCAGCCTGGGCAACACGGGAGACCCCTGTCTCTACTAAAAGTAAAAAAATTTTTAAAGGCTCATTTAAAATTTTTCAAACATGCTTTCTCAACAGGAAATGTCTTTTAATTCTGCACAGTTCTCTCTGCTTTCTTCTAAAAGGTTCCTTGTTTTACATTTTACATTTAAATCTATGATCCATTCAGGCAATTTTTGCATAGAATATGAGGTTTAGGTGAAGTTCATTTTTTTGTCCAGTTACTGCACCACCATTTGAACACCACATATCTGGCAAAGGACTAATATCTAGAATATTTAAACTCTCAAAACTCAAGTTTTTAAAAAACAATTCAACTAAAACTGGGCAAAAGACATGGACAGACATTTCACCAATGAGGCTAAACACATGGCAAACAAGCACACAAAGACACGTACATCATCACCAGGCACTAAAGAAATGCCAATTGAAACCATGATGAGGCCAGGTACGGTGGCTCACGCCTGTAATCCCAGCACTTTGGGAGGCCAAGGTGGGTGGAACACCTGAGGTCAGGAGTTCAAGACCAGTCTAGCCAATATGGTGAAACCCTATCTTACTAAAAATACAAAAAATAGACAGGTGTGCTGGTGCACTTCTGTAGTCCCAGCTACTTGGGAGGCTGAGGCTGGAGAATTACTTGAACCCAGGAGGTGGAGGTTGCAGTGAGCTGAGATGGTGCCACTGTGCTCCAGCCTGGGCAACAGAGTGAGACTCCATCTCAAAACAAAACAAAACAAAAAACCATGATGATACATCACTATTTACCTGTTAGAATAGCTAAAAATCCAGACAGGGACAAAACAAAATGCTGCTGCAGATGCAGAGAAACTGAATGTCTTGTACATTGATGGTGGTACAGTTAAAAAAAAAAAAAGAAAAGAAAAAAATTCCAAAAGGTTATACATTGTATGATTTTGTTTATAGCAGATCAGTATACCCATCCTGCAGCTGCTATGAATGTTGACAGCTAAAGACTCACACAGCTTCCCCCTCATCTGGAAGGATTGCCCTGGGCAGAAAGGAGGCTGCCTCTTGTTCCAGAGCTTCATGTTCCAGACCTCCCCATGGAGCCTCCACTGACTACATCCTTGTTTCACTTTTTCTTCCCCTGTGCTATCCTACCCACCGCTCTCCCGAGAGCCTTCCTTCAATAAATCACATGCCCCTGTGTTACCTGTTGAAGGTGTCCAGGTTCTTGGAGTCTTGAACAAAGAAATGGGCAATAGGCACAAACAAAGAAAGGAAAAAATGAAGCAACAAAAGCAGAGATTTATTGAAAACAGAGGTACACTCCACAGGGTGGGAGCCAGCCTGAGCACAGGGGCTCAAGAGCTCCATTACATAATTTTCTGGGGTTTAAACACCCTCTAGAGGTTTCCACTGGTTACTTGGTGTACACCCTATGTAAATGAAGAAGATGAAGTTAGGTTGCTAAGTCACTTACTCAGTGAACACCATATGTAAATGAAGAAAATATTTCCTGTCATAGCTGAAGTGTTTCCATTTTATTTAGTTCTAGGAAGTCAGCGTGAATCAGCTTTATGTTCCCTGCCTGCTGACCCTATTCTCCTGCCTCACCTGAATCTCTTCACCTAAGACAGGAAGAAAACGGATGGTTCAGGAGAGGAAGAACAATAGCAGGGCGAACAATCACCAAAGCCGGGTTCAAGTGATTCTCCCCTCTCAGGCTCCCGAGTAGCTGGGATTACAGGCATGCACCACCATGTCCGGCTAATTTTTGTATTTTTAGTAGAGACAAGGTTTCCCCATGTTGGCCAGGATAGTCTTGAACTCCTGACCTCAGGTGATCCGGCCACCTCAGCCTCCCAAAGGGCTGGGATTACAAGCATGAGCCACTGCGCCCAGTCCCCAGTTCTGTTCTTTCAGAGGGAAATAGTCTGTTGAGTAAATGCGTGACACTACTTAGACTTTATAGCTGAAGATGTAGTTAATCTTAAGAAAACCTGACTCACACTATAACAGGATGTTCTGCAATGACCTTAAAGGAGGAAGTGATTTTTTTCCCACTTTGGTGTCTCTTCCCTAGTATCCTCCCCACGCCGCCAATATTATCCAGCACAGAGAAGAAAGCACCAGAAGTGCCTCTCCAACTTGCAGGTTTTCTCTAAACTTCCAGTCCTTCCCACACCGTGTCCTGGTTATAGTAGTTGCTGGGACCTTATTCTATTCTGAATTCCCAGCCCCGAAAGAAGGCCTGGCACTGACGTGTACAGCGTAGTTACAGAGTGACTTTAAGGAAGGCAGGGAGAGTGTGGAAAGGACAGGAGGGGCATAGCAGGAGGAAGGGAGGGCTCGTGGTTCTGAGCTTCCTAGAAAGCGGCTCTAGGGAGCCGGGGCACCGTGAGCCTGGCAGTTGGCAGCTGAGCCAGGTCGGAGGGGGAAGTGTCACAGCATTCCCTGCAGGCGTCCCAGACCTGAGGCAGTGGCCTCCGGAGGGCACAGGACAGAAACAGCCGTCCAAGTAGCTGAGTGGAGGGACCCTACTCAAGTGCAGCTGCAGTGGCCGGGGTTTCCCTCAGGTAGGATCGGGGCTCCTTGTCGCCGCCAGCCACGTGTGGTGTCCGGTACGGCCAGCGGAGTGCAGGGCGCGGACACCAGGGAAGGGGGTGCAGGGGAACTCCCGCGGGCCTCGTGTTTGCAGACTTCTCGCCTGGGCAGGAGGCGGTCGTGGGAAAGAAGGCGGAAGAGCGAGCTTTTTGGAACTCTGCACGGGACAGATTGGACGCACATCCCTCGGGAGGCACGAAGGTGAGCATGGGGTCTCCCCAGGAGGCGGCGGGGCCGAGGGGCTGCAGCCGGATTCCTGGGCAGTGACGGGAAGAACAGGGCGTGAGGTGGCCCGGTCCGAATTCCTGGAACTCAGGACCGAGTTGGTTTCATTTCCTCGGCTCTGATGGTGGAGCTTCCTGCTCCGATCTCGCACTACCTTCTGCCAAAGCCAGAGGCCCAGTAGCGGTGGGGGTCGTGGAGGACAGGGACACGAGAACAAGTAACCTGATGTCTTCTCAGAGAAACGAAGCCTTCAGGTTTGCAGGCTGAAGGCGAGAGAGAGAGACAGAGAGGGGGAAGAGGTAAATGTCTGATAATCTTTATTTATTTTATTTTATTTTTATTTTTTGGAGGGAAGAGGTGAATTTGAATTATTGCCATTTAAAGATTTTTCACTTTTAAAATTAGTAACGTGTTTTCTCATTGTAATATATGAACATAATCCCCTTTTTCTTTTTATGTATTTATTATTAGAGATGGGGTCTTCCTCTGTTGCCCGGGCTGGGGTGCAGTGGTACAATCATAGCTCACTGCAGCCTCCGAAACTCCTGGGCTCAAGTGATCCTCCCGCCAGATCCTCCCAAGTAGTTAGGACTACAGGGTGCACACCACCAGACCCAATTACATTTCTTTTGTATTTTTTCGTAGAGCCAGGGTCTCACTTTTTCACCCAGGCTGGTCTCAAACTCCTGGGCTCAGGTGATCCTCCTACCTCGCCCTCCTAAAGTGCTGGGATTACAGGTGTGAGCCACTGCAGCTGGCCTGAACATATTCTTAGTTGTTTGTTTTACATATTATAAATAGCGCTGCAGTGAACATCTTAGTAGCCATCTATCTACACACACAAGCTTTCTACATCATAAGTTCCTAGAAATTCAAATTGCCCAGTCAACGTGTGTATATATTTATATTCCCTTTCTTCCCTTAGAGCTCATATACTTAATAAACCCTTAAACAATTGAAGTTATTGTAGGGCGCTTTTTTCCCGATGTTTTGCAGTTTTTAATATATTTTAATATCATACAGGCAAGTCCCCTTTTCTTTATTTTTTAAAATCCTAGTTATCCCTACTAATTTCCTGTTTCAAATGAACTTTTCATTTTGTTTCAATGCCAAAATATGTCATTAGATGTTTTATTGGAACTGCATTAAATTGGATTTAAATTTGGGAAGGATTGCTGGGTTGGTCTATTTTAGTCTTTCCAGCCAGAAACATGACACTTCTTCTCTTTCCTCCTTTCTTCAAGCTTTGTTTTGTGCAATTTTCTTTTTTTTTTTCTTTTGAGATGGATGATCTTGGCTCAGTGTAACCTCCACCTCCCAGGTTCAAGCAATTCTCCTCCCTCGGCCTCCCTAGTAGCTGGGATTACAGGCACCTGCTACCATGCTCAGCTAATTTTAGTATCTTTAGTAGAGATGGAATTTCACCATGTTGGCTGGGCTGATCTCAAACTCCCGACTTCAGGTGATCCACCTGCTTCAGCCTCCCAAAGTGCTGAGATTACAGGCGTGAGCCACTGCGCCCGCTACAATTTTCTTCATACCATGCCACCACTGTATAATTGATTATTTTAAATTGTTTGTCACTTCTATGGGTGCGATATTTTCCCCACTGTCCTTTCTGATTAGTTTGTGCTGAGATATGGCTTTCTGATGAGGCTGGTAGTAAGATAACTGGAGCTTGGAGCTAGGAAGCTAAAATTTGCAAGATTCCTTGAACAACATTGTCACATGTGCTTCTGTTTCTGGTGCAACAGAGAAAGTGTAAAACCCTTTGCCCTCACAATTCCCAAGAAATAGCCTTGAAGATACGTGCTTAGCATGTGGGAATAGCTGGGTAGTCTGAGATCTGCTAGTCTTTTTAGGAGTGCCCTAATAACTCTTACCTCCCTTGCCCAGTCACTCAGGCAGCAAAAATGCAAATACATCAATTGCTCATTTATTTAGTTTCACTTCTACCAGTGCCTCACTCATGTTTTAAAGCCATATTTGGGCTCCAGGCCAAGCTGTTATTTAATCCATAAACTGGTGGTAATACTTAACCTACCTTTTTCACTAAGCTGTTAAAAAAAAAAAAAAAAGGCCAGGTGCAGTGGCTCACACCTGTAATCCTAGCACTTTGGGAGGCTGAGGCGGGTGGATCACGAGATCAGGAGTTCAAGATCAGCCTGGCCAACATGGTGAAACCTCGCCTCTACTAAAAACTACAAAAATTAGCCAAGCGAAGTGGCAGGCACTTGTAGTTCCGGCTACTCGGGAGGCTGGGGCAGAAGAATCACTTGAACCCGGGGGGTGGAGGTTGCAGTGAGCCACGATTGTGTCACTGCACTTCAGCCTGGGTGACAGGGCGAGACTCTATCTCAAAAAAAAAAAACCAAAACTAACTTTGTTTTTTGTTGTCATTGTTATTGGTGGTAGTGGTGGTATTTTTGAGACACAGTCTTATTTTGTTGCCCAGGCTGGATGGAGTCAGTGGCACACTCATGGCTCACTACAGCCTTGACCTCCCAGCCTCAATCAGTTCTCCCTCCTCAGGTTCTGGAGTAGCTGGGACTATAGGCAAGCACCACCACACCCAGCACATTTTTGTATTTTTTTTTTAGAGACAGGGTTTCACCATGTTGCCCAGGCTGGTCTCGAACTCAGGCTCATGCGATCCCCTGGCCTCAGCCTCACCAAGTGCTGGGATTACAGGTTTGAGCCATCACACCTTACCCTAACTTTATTTTAAATACTTTGGAAACTGGTTTCATGGCCTTGTGATTATTTGAATGCAACCTCCCTGAACCACAGCGTCTTCACTTTTCACCTGTTTGTTTTTTCTAGACAGGGTCTCTCTCTGTTTCCCAGACTGGAGTGCAGTGGTGTCATCATAGCTCACTGCAGCCTTGACCTCCTAGGCTCAAGCAATTCCCCCACCTCAGCCTCTTGAGTAGCTGGGACTACAGGTCCCAGCTAATTTTTGTATTTTTAGTAGAGATGGGTCTCGCTGTGTTGCCCAAAATGGTCTGGAACTCCTGGCCTCAAGCAATCCTCCCATCTCTTCCTCCCAAAATATTGGGATAACAGGCAAGAACTACCATGCCCAGCCAGTATCTTCATCTGTTAAATAAAAATAACCATGGAGAGCTGGGGGTTCCCGAGCACTTAGGATGTAGTGGGTGAATTGAGAGATCTAGCATCATCATTATTACCATCATTCATTGCTGAACACAGTTGGCTTTAGTTGCAAATAAAGCAAACATGATTCAAACTGCCTTAAACAATCAGGGAAGTCATTGGTCCATGAAACCTGTAGTTAGGGGATGGGGTACACTTCAGTGTCAGTTCAAACCAGTGGCTCAGTGTTGTCATCAAGGACTCAGATTCTTTCTCCCTTTCCATTCTACCATGCTCAGGTCAGCCTCATTCCAAGCTTTAGGATCAGGGCTCTGTGCTTGCTCACTCATGTTCAGAGAAGAGAGAGAGGTTGAGAGTAGGAAGCTGGCACTGCAGCCTCAACCTCCTAGGCTCAAGAAATCCTCCTATCTCAACTTCCCAGGCGGCTGAGACTACAGGTGTGTGCCATCACACCAGGTTAATTTATTATATATATTATATATATGGAATATTATGTATGTATTACAATATATATGTAATATATTATATATATTTTTTGAGATGGTACAACCTCTGCCCCCTGGGTTCAAGCAATTCTTCTGACTCAGTCTTCCGAGTAGCTGGAATTACAGGCGTGCACCACCACACCCAGCTAATTTTTGTATTTTTAGTAGACACGGGGTTTCACCATGTTTGCCAGGTTGGTTTCCAACTCCTGACCTCAAGTGATCTGCCCTCCTCAGCCTTCCAAAGTGCTGGGATTACAGGCATGAGCCACTGCGCCCAGCCAATTTTATATTTTATTTATTTTATTTTATTATATTTTTTATTTTTCTAGAGAAAGGGTCTCACTTTGCTGTCCAGACTGATCTGGAACTCCTGGCCTCAAGCAATCCTCCTGCCTCTTCCTCTCAAAGTGCTGCGATTATCGGTGGGAGCCACCTCGCTCGCTCAGCTGCATTTTTCTTAAAGCACTGTAGGAAGAAACTGAACAAATTTTTGTAGGAAAAATGAAAGATAGACAGTCCACATGTTTTAAGAAAAAGAGAAAGAAACATACTTATCTGTGGCAGTAAAGACTAGCCCAGCTCACTTCACTCATTTGAATTACCTGCCTGGCCCCTGAAACCTCTATGCTTTAGCAGGATATATTTGTAATAGGTGAAACTGATGTAAACATATCGACCTGAAAATTTACATGCAATACAATTTATTCCTTGATCACTTAACAGTCCATGACAGACGTTCCAGGTCTGTGGGTAGCTCTTCTCCAAGTGATGATCCAGGGACTCAGGACCCTTCTTGGGGCTCCACCACCCCTAGGGCCGCTTCTTCACGCGCAGCCAGCCAGCAAAGGGAGAGTGTGTGGAGGCAGCAAAGTTGCCCCAGTCCGAAGTAGAGCGGGTCACATGCACTTACACCCCATTGGTGAGAACTAGTCACATGGCCACATCACGCTGCAAGGAAGGCTGGGAGATGTAGTTCCGGCTGGACCAGCTCTTCCCAGCTGCAACTCTATTATTGTGGGAGGGCAGAACAGGTTTTGGTGGGCAGCAAACCATCTCCATCTTGTATGAAAATGCTAGGGAGACCTCCTCAGGCATTTAAATCACAGACCCCTTTGATTCTTTCTTAGCCAAGTAGTGAATATGCAGGAGATTTGGAGATTTCACCAAATTACATTCATTTCTTCCAGGCATGGAAAATTTGAAGCATATTATCACCCTTGGCCAGGCCATCCACAAACGGTGTGAAGAGATGAAATACTGCAAGAAACAGTGCCAGCGCCTGGGCTACCGCGTCCTCGGCCTGGTCGAGTCTCTGGAGATGCTCCAGGACCAAGGAAAGAGGAGCGTGCCCTCTGAGAAGTTAACCACAGCCATGAACCGCTTTAAGGCTGCCCTGGAGAAGGCTAATGAGGAGATAGAAAAGTTCAGCAATAAATCCAATATCTGCAGGTTTCTAACAGCAAGCCAGGACAAAATACTCTTCAAGGATGTGAACAAGAACCTGAATGATGTCTGGAAGGAGCTCTCGCTGTTACTACAGATTGAGCAACGCATGCCTGTTTCACGCATAAGCCAAGGAGCGTCCTGGGCACAGGAAGATCAGCAGGATGCAGACGAAGACAGGCGAGACTTCCAGATGCTAAGAAGGGGCAAGTTTGGTTTTTGGTGGGGAGTGGGAGTGCAGTTGAACACATTTTAGCCTCACTTTAATTCACCAAAGGAGCAGCAAGGATGAAGTTTGAGCAGCTGTAACATACTTGTAGCTCAAAACTCCTAACATCCTTTGGCCCAGATATATGGTGAGGGCTGGTGAAATTTGGGCAAGTCAGTGTAGAGGAGGAGTTTTTTGTTTCATTTCATTTTTTGAGACAGGGTCTCTTTTGCATGGGCTGGAGGACAGTGGCACAATCATAGCTCACTGTAGCGTCAGGTTCAAGTGATCCTCCCACCTCAGCCTCTGGAGTGGCTGGGACTATAGGTGTGCACGCCACCATGCCCAGCTAATTTTTATTTTATTTTTTGCAGATAGGGAGTCTCAATATGTTGCCCAGGCTGGTGTAGAACTCCTGGCCTCAAGTGATCCTCTGGCCTCAGCCTCCCAAAGTGCTGGGATTACAGTCACCTAGGAGGTCGAGGCTGCAGTGAGCCATGATTATTCCATTGCTCTGCAGTCTGGGTGACAGAGCGAGATTCTGTCTCCAAAACCAAAGGGTGGAGGGGGGCCAGCATGAGAAGTAAATCTCCCTCCTTGACCTCGAGGGCTCCGTTTCCCATTCTGAGGACATGAGACCTTCAGTACTGAAACTGGGGAAGTCTAATGGAAACCATATAGACACACTGATAATCTAATCCATTGTTGGTAGAAGGATATTTGTGCAACCTTTATCAAAATGTGAGATACAATCACACAATCTACCAGTTTCTTGAATACCCTTCTGGAGATTTAAGTATATATATTTTATTGTTGTCACACAGTCAGCATCATACCAAACACTTTGTTCTGTTTCTTCTTTTCTTATTAAATAATTTTAAATATCTCCCATGTAAATATCCATGGAATTATATAGCTTGTTTTCCTACTTGGCATCTATCCTACTGTTTTGTTTTGTTGTATGATCATACCAGCAGCATACAAATTCAAAAACAACCCAATACATACACCCATCATTTTTTCCCATTTTTTGTGATAAAATATACATAACATAAAATTTACCATTTCAACCATTTTTAGATGCCAATTCAGTAGCATCAAGTATATTCACATGGTTCTGAAACCATCACCACCATCTATCACCAAAATTTTTTTTTCTTTTCTTTCTTTCTTTCTTTTCTTTTCTTTTTTCTTTTTCTTTTTTTTTTTTTTTTTTTTTTTTTTTTTTTTTTTTTTTTTTTGAGACAGAGTCTTGCTCTATCACCCAGGCTGAAGAGCAGTAGCACAATCTTGGCTCACTGCAACCTCTGCCTCCTGGGTTCAAGCAATTCTTGTGCCTCAGCCACCCGAGTAGTTGGGATTACAGGCATGTGCCACTACACCCAGCTTACTTTTGTATTTTTAGTAGAGATGGGGTTTTACCATCTCTACTGACGAGTTTGACCAGGCTGGTCTCAAACTTCTGACCTCAAGTGATCTGCCTGACTCGGCCTCCCAAAGTGCTAGGATTACAGGCATAAGCCACCAGTCCTGGCCTATTTCAAGATATCTTTATGAGTAATTCCCAGAAGTGGAATTATTAGGTAAAATCACTAGGTCAAAGACTATATTTTAAATTTTGGTAGAAGTTGCACAGATATTACTCCTACCAACGATGCATGAGGTTATCTGCTTCTCTATACTTTTCCCATAAGAGACTTTCCCACTTTTGGTAGTCAGGGTTACATGTCCCCAGAACTCCTCAGTCTTGGGCAGACAGGGATGGCTGACCATTGTAAATAGTGTGTTGTAAATTTTCAAACATGTTTCTGAGTATATAAATCAGGATAGATTTGATTATGCTGTAGTTTAAAAAAAACAACCACTCAGTGTTCTAAAAAAACAAGTTTATTTCTCATTCAGGCAAAGTCCAGGGGACTCTCCAAGGTGAATGTCCTCCTTCTAGGATACTTTCAATAGTATAGCACTCCCATGTTGACACAAACTTTCTTCACTTCCAAAGCAGCCAGGTTGGAACCTTATGCAGAGTCAGTTAAATGCTCCCTCTGGGAAGTGACAGACATCTCTTTCCTTCATTTCTTAGCCAAAGTGAGTTACCCAGCTATGCTTTAATGCATTTCCTATGTGCTTAGAAGTAGAAATCTGAATATTGGTGATCAGTAGTAATCCCATCATAATGAATATGATAGGTAAAAAATGATATCTCAACAGTTTTAATTAGCATTTTAGTTTTGATTGGCATGTGATTTTAATTTCTGTTTTGAGCATTCACTGTCCTTTTTTCCTGCAGGTAATGAAGAAATAGAAGCTTCATTGAGACAATTAGAAATCAACATGAAAGAAATCAAGGAAACTTTGAGGCAGTGTAAGTTTTCATGTGCCCTGCTGTTTCTGATGGCCCCCAAACTAGAAGTCATCAGTTTACTGGGACCCCAGCCTCCCCCTACCCCTGCATTTGTCCATTTTCTGTGCTGGATGACTGGAAGCAGCCCACAGGTTTGGGGATCCATTCATGGCTAACCCAGGCTTCTGTCCATGGAATAACATCCAGAGGCGGCTTCTTGACCAGTAAGATATCTTCTAACAGCTGTCAAAGTGCTTAAAAATCTCTATGAATAGCAACAAAGCTTCAGTTCGGTTGCTGAATTTCCAAGAAAAAATTCAAATCAAATTTAAAATGCCCACTCATTCATTCATTCAACAAAACTGTATCTGTTTTATGCCAGAAGCCATGCAAAAAGGGGACTAAGATGCAGAGAAGGACACTGACTTCCAGGAGCGCATGGGGTAGAGGAGAAAAGAGGAAAGACAGACAATGAACACACAACAGCAAGGTTACTGAGCTTGAACTATGTCCCTAACTACTAGATCTGAAATGACTAGACCAGATGCCAGATGCTCAAATGCCAAGCTCTGGGTAACAGGAATAGAGATCCTTCCAGGATGAGATAGATGAGTCTGGATGAGGGTTAAGGCTGGAGGGACAGGTGGGATTTGAAGAGGAGGGAAAGGAAGTGGATGACACATTCTGTCACTGATCCACTGTGTCTCTACTGGTCACTCAGAGGCATTGGAGCCGCTCCCTTGGGCTGAGTCAATCAGAAGCCCCAGCCACGACCAGCTCTGGTTCATGTTGTAGAGCTTCCCACTCACACATCACAAGGATGCCACCTCCCTTAGGACCCCTTCCTCTGCTCATTGACTCTTTTGTCGTCTTTCCTCTTGGGGCTGAGGTCAGGTTTACTACCAAAATGCATGCAGATCCCGCAAGAGCAAATCAAGGAAATCAAGAAGGAGCACCTCTCAGAATCCCCGTGGATTCTGCTAAGGGAAAATAAAGTCAGCACACTTTATAAAGGAGAATACCACAGAGCTCCAGTGACCATAAAAGTATTCAACAAACCCCAGGCTGGCAGCATTGCGTAAGTTGTTTTGTGTGGTTCTCTCGTGTGTACCAATACTTATTCTCTGTAACTCTCCAGGGAGAGAGGGGTATTGTCTCCATTTTTAGATGAGGAAGCCTGGGCCTCAAAGGGTTAAATGACTGCTCTCCACTATTAAAGAGCAGTCTTGACTTAAATACATCTTTCCACCTCAGTTCTAGTCTTCTCTCCTTTATTCATGTATATATTTAAAAAAACAAAAAAACTTTCTCTTCCAACCCTGTTTCCCAGTTGCTCATCTCCTCCCCAGACAGTAATTCTAGTGTGTTTTGTTTGTATCTGTTCTTGCAAAATGTATGCATACATTTTTCCTGTTCACAACTGGTAGAGTTATGTGTCTGTTACCTCCTTTCCTCATTTTTCTCACTCAACATCATGAAACATGTTCCATACTTGGACTCCTTAATTTCTGTCTGCCATCCATGGTGAAGATCCCCATTTTGCCAATTTTTTATTTTTATTTTTATTTTTATTTTTTTTGAGACAAGGTCTCACTCTGTTGTCCAGGCTGGAGTGCAGTGGTGACATCATAGCTCATTGCAGCCTTAACCTCCCGGGCTCCAGCAATCCTCACACCTCAGCCTCCCAAGTAGCTGGGACAGCAAGTATGCACCACCATGCTTAGCTAATTTTTAAATTTTTTGTAGAGACAGGGTCCCACTGTGCTGCCCAGGCTGGTCTGGAACTCCTGGACTCAAGCACCTCCTGCCTCAGCCTTCCAAAGTGCTGGAATAACAGGCATGAGCCATATATTTTGTCTATTTTTTTTTTTTTCCAGTGATGAAATCCAGTCAACTTCCAACTTCTCCCCATCAAAAAGATGCCATACTAAGTATCCCTTTAGGGACCTGTATGAGAATTCTTTGGGATATAGCACCAGGAGAGAAAATGATGGGCCATAGGATATGTGTATATTAAGTGACTAAGTACTACCAGGCAACTCTTCAGAACAGAGTGTCTATGCCTACACTCCCATAAGCAACCTCATCAACCCTTAGTGTTATCCAGCTTTCTAATTACTTTCATCCTTCTAGTTATAAAGTGATCAATATCTTGTAGTTATTTGAACTTGCATTTCTGTTTTTACTAATGAATTCAAGCCCTTATTTACATGTTTTAGCTATTTGGGTTTTCTCTTCCATAGATTGCCTGTTCATATCCTCTGCCCTTTTTTCCATCATGGTTGCTGCTTTTGTCTTGTCTGTTTGTAGATCTTTGTATATTGTGGAAATCAAGCACTTGTCAGCTTTAGATATTGCAGATTTTTATTTGTGCTCTGGAGGTACCCTTCCCCACCTCTAGATCTTAAAGGCATTCTATATTTTCTTCTCTTAACTTTACAGTTTTATTTTTTATATTTAGGTTTTAATCCACGTTAATCCACCTACTAGAATCCACCTTTGTATGTGACATTATGTAGGGCCAACTTTCATTTTTAGCCACATAGTAAGTCAGTTTTCTCTATACCATCTATTAAGTGGTCTGTCTTTTCCTTGTTGATTTGTGGTACCATATTTATTGTATATTAAGTTTTTATATAGACATGGATCTGACTCTGATCTCTCTAATCTTTCCCACTGATCAATTTGTCTGTTTCTGTACCAATGACACACTGTTACTGTATTTTTCATGTGACTTTGCAATAAGTTTTGGTATCTGATAAAGAACTTCCTCCTGATTCTTCTTTTTCAGGTTGACTTAGCTAAATAAATATCAAAGAAAGTTTTATCCCACTCCTCAAAATGTGATCAAGATTTTGATTGAGACCGTATTTTTAACAGTTTTATTGAGATACATTTTACATACCATAAGATTTACCTATTTAAAATGTACAATTTAATGACTTTAAGTATATTTACAGGCCGGGTGCAGTAGCTCACACCTGTAATCCCAGCACTTTGGGAGGCCAAGGCGGGCAGATCACCTGAGGTCAGGAGTTCAAGACCAGCCTGGCCAACATGGTGAAACCCCGTCTCTACAAAAAATACAAAAATTAGCGGGGCATGGTGGTGTGACCCTATAATCCCAGCTACTTGGGAGGCTGAGGCAGGAGAATCACTTGAACCTTGGAGGCCAAGGTTGCAGTGAGCTGAGATCGTGCCACTGCACTCCAGCCTGGGTGACAGAGCAAGACTCCAACGAAAAAAAAAGAAGAAGAAGAAGAAAGGAAGGAAGGAAGGAAGGAAGGGAGGGAGGGAGGGAGAGAGGGAAGGAGGGAAACCATATATCACTAGTAGTTATTCCTCATTCACCCCCATCACCACCATCCTGAGCCCCAGGCAACACTCCTACCTTCTGTCTCTATAGATTTGCCTTTTCCAAATCTTTAATGTAAATGGAATAATACAATACGTGATCTGTTGAGTCTGGCTTCTTTCACTTAGCATGTTATTTTCAAGATTCATCTATATTGTAGCAAGTATCATTTCTTCATTCCTTTTTTATGGCTGAATGATAGTCCGTTGTATGGACATCTTATTTATCCATTGATCAGTTGATGAACCCTGTATTTTTCCCACTTTTTGATTATTATGAATAATGTTTCTGTGTACATTCATGTACAGGTTTTGGGGGTTTTTTAAATTTTGTTCTGTTTGACATAGAGTCTTGCTCTTTCACTCATGCTGGAGTGTAGTGGTGTGACATCAGCTCAACCGCAACCTCCACCTCCTGGGTTCAAGCAATTCTCATGCCTCAGCCTCCCGAGTAGCTGGGACTACAGGCGTGCGCCAACATGCCCAGCTAATTTTTGTATTTTCAGTGGTGACGGGTTTTGCCATGTTGGCCAGGCTGGTCTGAAACTCCTAACCTCAAGTGATCCACCCACCTTGGCCTCCCCAAATGCTGGGGTTAGAGGCTTGAGCCACTGCACCTGGCCCTCCTGTGTTTTCTTCTAAGAGTTTATAGTTTTGGCTCTTATATTTAGGTTTCCAATGTTGAGTTAATTTTGGTGTATTGTATAAGATAGTCATTCAACTTCATTTTTCTGCATGTTGATATCCAGATGTCCTAGAACCATTTGTTTAAAAGACTGTGCTGGCCTGGCACTGCAGCTCACATTTGTAATTCTAGCACTTTGGGAGGCCGAGGCAGGTGGATCACTTGAGGTCAGGAGTTCGAGACCAGCCTACCCAACATGGTGAAACCCCATCTCTACTAAAAATACAAAAATTAGCTGGGCGTTGGCTGGGCGCAGTGGCTCATGCCTGTAATCCTAGCACTTTGGGAGGCCAAGGCGGGCAGATCACCAGGTCAGGAGATCAAGACCATCCTGGCTAACATAGTGAAACCTCATCTCTACTAAAAATACAAAAAATTAGCCAGGTGTGGTAGCAGGTGCCTGTAGTCCCAGCTACTTGGGAGGCTGAGGCAGTAGAATCGTTTGAACCCAGGAGGCAGGTGTTGCAGTGAGCAGAAATTGCACCACTGCACTCTAGCCTGGGTGACAGATCGCGTTCCAAAAAAAAAAAAAAAATGTGAAAAATCAACTGGCTTTATCTGTATGACTTTACTTCTGGACTCCCAATTCTATTCCACTGATCTATTTGTCTAGTCTTATGATAGCACTATACTGTCTTCATTACTGTAGCCTTGTGATATGTTTGAAATTAAGAAGTATGAGTCTTCCAGCTTTGTTCTTTTTTTGCAAGACTGTCTTGGCTATCCTGAATTCCTTTCATTTCCATACAAATTTTAGGAATATCTTGTCAATTTCTGTTTTCGTTTTTGCTTTTTTTTGCCAACTACAAATTGGGTAAGGATTGCATTGAACCTGTAGGTCAATTTGGAAAATGTTATCATCTTAATGATACAAAGTCTTCCTATTCAAGAACATGGGATGTCTTTCCACTTCTTTAGATCTTTTAAAATTTCTTGCCAGGTGCAGTGACTCATGCCTATAATCCCAGCACTTTGGGAGGCTGAGGCAGGAGGATCACCTGAGGTCAGGAGTTCGAGACTAGTCTGGCCAACATGGTGAAATCCCGTCTCTAGTAAAAATACAAAAATTAGCTGGGCGTGGTGGCAGGTGCCTGTAATCCCAGCTATTCGGGAGGCTGAGGCAGAAGAATTGCTTGAACCCGGGAGGCAGAGGTTGCAGTGAGCCGAGATCCTGCCATTGCACTCCAGCCTGGGCAACAAGAGTGAGACTCCGTCTCAAAAAACAAACAAACAAACAAAAACAAACAAACAAACCAAAACAAAATTCTTTCAACAATTTAGGTACAAAATTTTAGGTACAAAATTTTCAGGGTAAGACTTGCACTTCTTTTATAAATTTATTGCTAAGTATTTTATTCTCTTTATGCTATTGGAAATGACAATTTTTAATTTAATCTTTTGATTGTTAATTGCTAGCAGATAGAAATACAATTGATTTTTGTAGGCTCTGAACCTGCCCTGTTTCTCTGACAGACCTTGGACAAGCCTCCTTTACCCTTTGAGTCTAAGACTCAGAATGAATGAACAGATTGGATTGAGTTGGTGGTTCCAGTGATCCTCTTTAATAATTTACCTGCCCATATTTTTTTTTTTTTTTTTTTTTTCTTTTTTTGAGACGGAGTCTGCCTCTGTCGCCCGGGCTGGAGTGCAGTGGCCGGATCTCAGCTCACTGCAAGCTCCGCCTCCCGGATTTACGCCTTTCTCCTGCCTCAGCCTCCTGAGTAGCTGGGACTACAGGCGCCTGCCACCTCGCCCGGCTAGTTTTTTGTATTTTTTAGTAGAGACGGGGTTTCGCCGTGTTAGCCAGGATGGTCTTGATCTCCTGACCTCGTGATCCGCCCGTCTCGGCCTCCCAAAGTGCTGGGATTACAGGCTTGAGCCACCGCGCCCGGCCTACCTGCCCATATTTTTTAAGGCCCACGTTTTGGAAGAAATTTTGGTTATAAGATTTCACTTAATAAATATCCTTATTTTTATTAATCAAAGACACACATCACAGGCTGGGCACGGTGACTCACACCTGTAATTCCAGCACTTTGGGAGGCAGAGGTGGGCAGATCACTTGAGGCCAGGAGTTTGACACCAGCCTGGCCAACATGGTGAAACCACGTCTCTACAAAAAAAAAAATACAAAAATTAGCCGAGCATGGTGGCACACACCTGCAGTTCCAACTACTCAGGTGGCTGAGGCATGGGAATAGCTTCAACCTGGGAGGTGGAGGCTGCAGTGAGCCAAGATCGCACCACTGCACTCCAGCCTGGGCGACAGAGCAAGACCCTGTCTCCAATTTAAAAAAAAAAAAAAAGACAGACACCACGATCTGTCAGAGTATATGCTAAACAACAGGTTACGGCCTAAAAACAATAATGAATACTTGACTTTTTAGTTTGCTTAGGAAAGCCCTGTAGGTCATAAAAATACAATTCTATCAGACTATTTTAACTGCTGAAAAGATATTAGCAAGCCCCATTAATATCTCACAGACCCCAAGGGACTAATTGTGCTGTCACAGGCACCCGAGGGGTTCTACATGTTGTCATCAGTAGCTGAGCTCATCCTGGCACCAGTTCTTACCCCCAGGAGATGCTGATACCCCCACCCCCACATACACAGAGGGTCACCACATTGAATGTTCTCTAAGGAACTTTCCAGTTCTGAAATCCCGACTTCTCCCTTTATCCTCATAGAATAGTGAGGCAGACTTTCAACGATGAGATCAAAACCATGAAGAAATTTGAATCTCCCAACATCCTGCGTATATTCGGGATTTGCATTGATGAAACAGGTAAGGAATGCTTCTGGGATTGGTCAAGCTTTGGATGGCCTGGAATATACCTCCTGTGTTTTAATGTATTGCACTTTTTTTAAAGAACACCACAAAGGGTAGAATCTACAAAGTGTGATTATTATCAATGTTAATTTTTTTTTCAACCCAAGATGCAAGTTCTCATCTTCTTTTAGGAGAGCAGAGCTGAAGGCTGAGGGTTGGTTTGCACTAACATGGCCACATCTTCTCTTTTCAGCCCACTGGGAAATAAGGGGGTGCATGTTTAGATGCCAGCCTGGAAGAGGGGTACATCTTGTTGCTCTAAAACATTATAAAGCTGCCAGGTGCAGTGGCTCACACCTATTATCCCAGCACTTTGGTAAGCCGAGACGGGCAGGTCACATGAGGTCAGGAGTTCAAGACCAGCCTGGCCAACATGGTGAAACCCAATCTCTACTAAAAATACAAAAATTAGCTGGGTCTGGTGGCGGCCACCAGTAGTCCCAGCTACTCAGGAGGCTGAGGTGGGAGAATTGCTTGAACCTGGGAAGCGGAGATTGCAGTGAGCTGAGGGTGCACCATTGCACTCCAGCCTGGGCAACAGAGCAAGACTCCGTCTCAAAAATAAAAATAAAAATAAAAATAAATTATAAAGCTGTCTGACCCAAACAAGGAAAACACCCTTGGTCATCATTACTGTAGATCAAATCTAAAAGCAAAATTAACTTACCTGGCCAGGTGCAGTGGCTCATACCTGTAATCCCAGCACTTTGGGAGGCCGAGGCGGGTGGATCACAAAATCAGGAGCTCGAGACCATCCTGGCCAACACGGTGAAACCCCGTCTCTACTAAAAATACAAAAATTAGCTGGGTGTGGTGGCACGTGCTGTAGTCCCAGCTCCTCGGGAGGCTGAGGCAGGAGAATTGCTTGAACCTGGGAGGCGGAGGTTGCAGTGAGCTGAGATCGCACCACTGCACTCCAGTCAGAGCAATAAAGTGAGACTCTGTCTCAAAAAAAAAAAAAAAAAAAATTAACTTACCCCTTTACCAAGAGCCTCATGTGACAGGCTCTTTTTTTTTTCCTCAGTGTGACTGCATTTTCTCTCATGGAATGACCCCTCCTGCTGGTCATGTTTTGCTGATCTTGACTAGAGAGAGGACAGAGCAACTCCTGTCTTATCCGCTTTGGAAGTTGCTCCACAGCCTCAGGCCAACTTGATTTCAGAGTGTGGAATCCCAATCTAAAGGCAAACATAGGTCGGGCACGGTGGTTCACATCTGTAATCCCAGCACTTTGGGAGGCCGAGGCAGGTGCATCATCTGAGGTCAGGAGTTCAAGAGCAGCCTGGCCAACGTGCGGAAACCCTGTCTCTACTAAAAATACAAAAATTAGCTGGGTGTGGTGGTGGGTGCCTGTAATCCCAGCTACTTGGGAGGCTGAGGCAGGAGAATTGCATGAACCTGGGAGGCGGAGGTTGCAGTGAGCCGGTATCATGCCACTGCACTCCAGCCTGGGTGACAGAGCTAGACTCTGTCTTAAAAAAAATTAAAAAATAAAACATAAAGGCAAACGTTCAGCAATGTTTATTCTCCTTGGGGACCGCTGAGGTGCCTGGCCCAGTCATATGTCAGTTTTACAACTCAGGCCCATGAACGGGGATGTCGACTTCTTGTCTGAGTCCTCACCTGCCCCTGCCATGTGCACCCCACTCATTCCTCCCACACAGATGTACGAAGCTCCTTGTAAGCACCGTGTGAACAAGACAGATACATTTCCTGCCTTCTTGGGCTTCCAGCTGAGTGAGGAAGATATTCCCCAAATAACTGCTCAAGAAAATTTAGAATTATACCAAGAAAAGGAGATGGAAGTAAAAAAAGAAAAAGAAAAAGATTTTTTTTTTTTTTTTTTTTTTTTTGAGACAGAGTCTCGCTCTGTCTCTCAGGCTGGAGTGCAGTG